GGGATGCCGGTTGCCCCATGGACCTTTAATGATAGTGAGTCTTTTAATAATAGAAACATAAATGTTTTGACTTCAAATAAGCAGGAAATATTTCTTTAGTGGATAGATAAGTAAAGTTATCCTTTAGCAGCATGATTGTGATGAAGAAATATACACAAATGAAGCCAGGGCTGCTGAGATGGAATAATTGTATCTCTCTATCAAATAATGATCTATGAAAAACCTATGTTTCTCCATTTTTTCACTAGTGAAAATAACACATTAGAGGTTTCTTTATAATAGTGGAAGTAAGAAAAAGGCTATTTTACGACATAATTTCCTTGCATATGTAATTAGTATAATAAATAGAATATTACATGGCCGCTTGTAGATACGAATTTTATCTTCTCGTGTTGAAAATCGCTACGCTCACTCGTGAGAGATCTTTTCAACACTCGAAGATAAAATCCGTATCTCCGCGCACCCATGTAATATCCTCTATTATAGGAATCCAAGCTTTCGCTGTACTACAGAATCGTCAGAGAATACATAAATGATCCACTCTTATTAGTCTAGGATATTCTTCTTCCCATGTATTCCTTGAGGTAAGGAAATACACTCTGCTCGCAGGGTATCCCTGACGATGCTGCAGTACAATGTACAGCGAAAGTTTGGATTATTAAAATATATTTGTTCCATTAAAGCAGCCCTGGCTACATTTGTATATATTTTTTCATTTCTTTAGTGATTTGTGCATCTTTAATATATATTCCCTGAGTTTACGTCACTTAATTTGTATTTTCAATTTTCAATGGCTTATGAGTGATGACAATAAGATGGTTAAAAACATTGAAACCCCAATCCAATATTCTGTCTCATAACGAAAAGATTAGTAATATTTAAACTTAATCATGTGAAAATATACATTGTGAATTTTTTTAATGCAATCAATCGCAGCAGTAACATATGGTAAAATAGCGTAATGTATTCACAATTTTTTGGCTGTTGTATATATATTCTGTGTCTTCTCAAGCTCACTTTCGTTCGAAGTAACCTTTTGGGACTTGACTGCGAGTTTTTCAATATATATAGAGGATATTACATGGTCGCGCGCGGGATGCGGATTTTATCTTCGAGTGTTGAGAAGATCTCTCACGCGTGAGCGTGTGAGAGATTTTCAACACGACAAAATAAAATCCGTATCTCCAAGCGACCATGTCATATTCTGTTTATCATATATAATTATCAATGAAAGTAATTAGCGTTTATTTACTTTTAATATATAGAGAAACCTCAAATGTGTTATTTTCACTAATGAAAATAACAACTTTACGTAATGGAAAAACATAGGCATTTTATAGATAATTATATAATAAATAGGTGTGTATTACATGAATTAGCATCGAGCATTGGTTATATCGCAACACGCACGAGAACTCTCAATAAAAAATCTAATGCATTTTAACTTCCATGCACGATATCTAACTAAACGATAGACCAAACATAAACAAATCTATCAATAAAACAGTTATCAGTAAGATATATTAATAAATACACAAAAAATTAAGATGCAAAGCGAATTAAAAAAGGTTTTTGGTCTCAAACTCGTCTCCAAAATAATTTACAATTTAGATAATACTTGCTAGTCTAGCTTTTGGTTATTTTATACCTAAGGGAATATTAGAAGACGATATGTTATCTCAATCATACTATATTGAATTTCCAATCTCCTGTTCGGAACCGACTTTTAGGCCATTTATTCTTTTTTTTTGTCTTGAGGGGAAAAAAATAAAAAAACAGCAAGGAAGGTCTAATAGAGATTTTATACACAATAGTACTAATGTTTTTTTTTCCATGTTTTTAAAAGCCTAAAAAATTATGGTAAAGATTAAAAAAGAAGACCGGATATATCATATGAAAAAAAAATGAAGAAGGAAAAAAAAATTAAAGTGAATATTAAATACTGCGTTTCGGTTTTCTTTTAACAGGTAAATTCTTAAGTACATGAATTTAACGGCATTTAATAAAAAATTCAGACAGAAAAGCTACGACCGACGTTTTGGTTATTAACTCCACTTTTTCCTTTTTTTCTTTTTTAAGGAAAAAAAACAAGTTATATCAAAATATACCGGACCCCCTGCTAAGTGATCAAAATGGGGGACACAACGGCCGGCTTTTGATATACTAAACGATTCTTAACACGAGCGAAATGAAATACGGTAATATCACTACTAAATATGCATCTCAGAATTTATTGTAGTTTTACGGAACACTGCCCTATACATTTTCGCATAGTCGAGCCGTCGGATTAATGTGTTAAATAGATTCTTTATTTTGAAATAAAACCGACAGAAAAAGAAGAGAAAAGATCAATAAAGATGCTAATCACTCAATTTGCCGACAGCAAATTCACACGGGAGGAAATACAACCATCTAATTTTCTAGTTAGTCACGTAGCTTTCTCGATAGCACCTCTACTGCGCATGCCGATTTACCACGATACTTAATATAAACTTAACTATGGAGATAAACATCTAGGCAACGCTAGGACCTGCGACTTGTCTCTTTTCATGGGCTGTATATTTATATTTGAATTGCCTTCGTGTGGGCGCCTTTGTTTACCTTTAGTGGTTCGAAGTCACTATTCTCTTCATCTTTTCAGTGGATGTTTTAAAAGTCAACGCTGCACACATCAAAACATAGCTAGCAACGGGAGAGTAGGTGAGTTGATTTTCTGAGAATAACGTTAAAAATTAAACAATTTGCTTTTCAAATAAGATGCATTTTCGTCATCATTTTAAATATTTCAGAGTTAAATTGTCGGGAGCCTATACATGAGATTTAACGAGGGTTTATATATAACACCCGGAAGAGAAGAAAGACGTTATAATCCCAAAAAATTGCAGTTAAATACATGAACTTACTAAATTGAAAAATTGCTATACTGAGAAAATTTCCCTTTCAAAAACAATATACTTTAATCAACATGTTAAATGTTTTCAAAGAGATAAAACGTTGGATATATGTATATCTATAAACTAGTTGATTGGCATTTTCCAATGATTATTTTTAGCTCATTAAGCAACAATCATTTTTCAACAAGCTTCAAAATGTCGAAATTCAAAAAAAAGAAAACTTCATGATCCATGTCAGCGCTCAATCTGGCATAACTGAGTTCATTCTAAGTTCATTCAAATTAAACGTTCGAGATAAAAATAATTGTTTCCAACGGCACCACTAACAAATTATAAACTAAAATCGATGGCTTGCATGATAAAACTTTGCTTTTCACGCAAGGTAAATTGGATACTTCGGGAAATTGCATAATATTGTGTTATATCTATTTATTTTTTTCAATTTTAGTTCAAGTTTAAGACAAGAACAGCACAAAAACAGTCACAGTTCTAAACAGCGACATAATACTAATCTTAATTCTAAACAGGTCTGGCAAAAAAACATGTTAAATTGACGAAAAAGTAATATTTATAATTATTCCAAACAGTTTTCGTAAATTATCGAAAAAATTTACCGCAACTTAAAGGAACTTTGGATAGTCAATTATCAAGGATATTTTTACTGGTTTCATAAACCAAATAAAACCATTATCGAAATTCTTCAATAAAACAACAAAATTGATTGACTTTGATAGTTGGATGTCTTGATTATAGTCACTATCCATAAAAGGTTTAATAGCATTTTTACCGGGATTTTTACTCCATAAAACCTTTCGGCCGTATATTCTTAATTCAGTTCCTCAGATGATTTCTGAGGTGCGCGCGAATGAAAACGAAGCATTTCAGACACAAATATGTTCTTTACTTGCTGTGCATTGTTTTGAATTTACATCTGGTTAATCTAAGCTCAAAAGCTAAAAGAAAAACAGGTATTGTCGGAACGGAATGAAGATGTGTGCTAGTCCACAGGACTTCCTATTTAACAAAAAAGAAAATTAGATTTGCTTCCGAAAGAATTGCCTATCAATAAATACAGAAGCTGCCTGACGACACGCTAAAATCTTCAATAAGCCATTAAGGGAAATAACTTATGGTCGCCATATTTTAGTATATTACATGTGTCATAGTCTATACTATAACTATGCATGTGTTAACTTCACCTTGACTAAATGAAAAAACAAAACAAAAAACACATAAATTATGTCAATAATGTATTCATCTGCCCTAGTATTTAATCCAGGCTTGAGAGCCGATCACACCCTTTTGAATGCCAAATTTTACTTGCTATCATAAAGAGGTAATATTTTGCTTAAGTTATTTCGGAAATTATTCTTGGGAATAAGCAAATTAAAAAAATTTAAACCAGAGCGTTTTTTTAATGGATGAACTTACGTTCTCAGTTAGAATCCATAGAAATGAGTCGATCAAGATACCGACGAAAAGAAGAAGTAACAACCGCTCAATTTATTGTAAGTAATTCACCGACTGGGAGGTCTATATGAAGCACAATTTGCCCAAGGCTTCGCATTTACCAAAGTCCGCTCCTTATAGGCGGTATATAAATGAGTGAACCTGTCGGTGTCTTTTGCTGCTTTTTATTGAATTAACGAGTCGTAAAACAATCATAGTTAGAACAATATGGACCGACAATAGCAACACCAACAAGCAACACGGAAAAGAAGCAGAAAAAACGGAGTACAATCCAAAACAACTAATAAACCAAAACTCGACAATATAGGTAAATTATTTGAGAACGCAAAAAGTGACCTTTTAGCTGTTAATGTGTGAACACTCAAAGCGTGAAACATTAGTAATACGATTTTGTACTATTTCATGCCAATTCTTTTGTTCAACTATCACTATTTTGCACACTTTAGTAATTAGTGTTTCACGCTTTTAAGAAAGCACTCTACTAATCAAATAGCCCTAAATAAAGCAAAATAGCCGGCGTAGATTAGATAATTGAAAACATAGGAATTCGCATAATTTCAGTATGATTTAACACTAATTTTAATTAAAATTACTAAATTTTTCATTGTTTTAGCGGTTGCACTTTTTTGTTAATGAAACATGACAGAGTTTGTTCAAAAGAAAAAATACATAATGTTAAAAAAAACATCGCCTTTACAAATACGCATCAATGGATGCATGCAAATTAAGAACCCAATTAAAGTAAATTGCGATAACTGAATAACTGTGTCGACCAACTATTTTCACCAGTGAAAATAACTACTTTAAGTAATGGAGAAACATAGGTATGTTAAAGATAATTATATAGTAAATAGGTGTATTACTTGAATATGGCTAAAACAATTAGCATCGACCATTAAGAACCCATAAATTATAATAAATTGCGAAACTCGTAAATGCATGGCTGTCTCGACCAACTCTGAGACGATGTAATGAGTAAATCGCACTTTCTAGACATGAAAAGGACTTTCCTAAGTACAATGTAGTGATAATCTGATAACAAAAGGGAGCCATGGTGCGTGCGCACGTGTCTTATGAAGCTAGAGCGAGCATCGTATCCTGAAAAACATTCTTAGCGGACACAGCAGGTTGAAAAGAGTTTTTTTCAAATCTAGTAATAAACAAATAGTTAGCGCGCCATTTTTTATTGTGTTTCAATACTTGTATATGATATAAACAGTAGCAACGTTTTCCTATGACTTTATTTAATGTAAGAATTCGAGACGTAATACCAGAAACGCCATAATACTTGTGCTATTGGCTTTTAAAACAATCATGGATCAAAATAATTTTTTTTAATGATTTTCGCGTTTAAAAACCTAGAGAAACACTAGCATTCGAAAGCTTTAGGATCATAAAAAACTACAATAGGCAAATATACATGCATCGAAGGGCCACGTATATCCGAGATCGCGATTTTTCAGATACAGAAATTCGACATCTTGGATTTTAAAGAAAGCAACTTTCAACAACAGACCATTTTGAAGACAAAACAAACGATTGAAAAGGTTCCCGGATGCTCGTGGGCCTTAGACATACAGCAATCGCCGAAATGAAAGTTGATCACAACGATGTAACTCAGCTGACAGGCACGTGTAAACAAACGCGGGCTCTCTCTTCCCCATGAGTCCCTGAGCGCCCGACAGGAAATTACGACTCGACTAAATACAGACGGTGGCGGTAGATTCAAAGAACTGAACTATATTTACATTGATAACACTTAAAAAACATGCTTTCAAAAGGCAGAGAACATCGTTTAGGTCGGTTTACTTAATTGAAAAGACAATGTAGAAAGATAATGTTAAAAATGCTGAAAATAGTCTGTGATACGGCGAAAAGGGCTTAGAAATTATAGGAATGACACCGAATGGAATTATATATAACAATATATCGGAGCGATTTGAATGGCGGACCTATTTGAATATAACAGCTGATGAAGTGAATGGCTACAGATCCATGGCGAAAGCTTGCAAGAACTTGGTCAGTATAGGACAAAATTTTATAATGCGAATTGCTGACGGCCATATTTCGATTCAGCTGATAAGAATACGAAAAGTTGAGATTAATTTCAAGTAAGAATAGGAAATAAATAGTAAAGTCTTATTTTTAAATGCAATTAAATGGAAAGCAAAACAAAATACAAATGCACACAAAACAAATAAACAAAAACAACAACAAAAAAAACAACAACAAAGTTTGACAGTTTTACAAGTGGACGACCGATACCCAAGAAGCTTTTACAATTTGCGCAGTGATGTCCGTGCTCTTTGCTGATTTTCCGTTCAATTTACTCAAGTGATTCRCCTCGTCCAAAGTATTCCATTTGAACTTCATGCTAAGTAGTCTTTATCTTAAGTTGCTAAATGGGAAATTGGAGAAAGACATCTAAAGTACTAAGATAACTGTAATAATCCTAAAAATGTCTAAAATCTGTAAAATCCAAAAATGCCATATTTGGGAATACCCATGATTCATTTCGGCCATGCAATTTCAATTCCACTATGTCTATTCCACATTTTCTAGTAAAAACGTTTTTAAAACAGCTGTATGCAGTTATGCGATAGCAATTTCAAACCACTAGTGTTATTTCCGTTTATTCTAAAAGCGTAATTATGAACGAGACAAGTGAATGCATTTAATTACTTGAATCATGATGGTATCGCGCTTGCATATCTGATAACAATCATTTTGTAGGAAACGTATAAAGCCTTTAAAAGATAAAAACGTAGAAGTGGTTTTCGCATGAACACAAGAGAAAAGGTTGCAGGAGCGTGTAGGGCGTTTAAATGAATCTGCAGGTAAGCTATTTAGCTTAAAACATTTCTATTTTTCATTCATTATCATTATCATTCAAAACGCCATTAATTCAGTGGATACATGATCTGAATGCATGCAATTCATGACTGCACGAATGCAGTCGTATGAGTTTAATTCTATTTATCCACATTCTGTCTTTATTTGTTATTTTACATCAATTCAGTTTTTTCAATGCATATTTCTGTCTATAAAGAAAAAAATGTGTATACATGCATATTAACTTAGCTAATTTTAATTAATTGTAAACCTTTTTTGTAAAATTGTTGTGGAAATAACAACAGATTAACAATACTAATTAAAGAAAAAAAAAATTTCGATGCAGATGGTTGATAATTTGAACAACTAAAAACAAACATGCACATATGCGAACGATATTTTGGTATACAAGGAATAAATTCGTGTTCGCAAATTTTATGATTTTTGTGTTTTAATGTTTCACTTCAAAACTCGAGAACAACATACTGGAGAGAGGTTTAGCTGCTTGTTGTACTAGAGTCTAGCTTTTTTCGTAGAATATTTACGTGTGAAAGCAACCATTAAATTACAAGATCAGTTGAGCTAAACTATTTCTTTTGTCTCAGTAATAATATATCTTCCTTAGCTTTCTACAACATCAAGATTATTTCTCCACTTATGGCAGCCTTCTTGCAATATTTGTCCGCCTCTTAGTAATTTAGACAACACACTGACATTTCTACACTGTAACAGAATAGAAAACAAACGAAAAGAAAATAATGCTGTTTATCAAAATAATTTGAGAAGCAAACGTATCCTGATTGGCTGTTAAGCTGTCAAGATGGCTAAAATTACTTAGCGCGCGCGTCGATTTCTGTCAGTTTCCCGCCTTTTTGTTGGCTAATTCAATATGGCGCCTATCACGTAACACGAAACTCAGAAATATTGTTAAGCGATGAGACTTGGTGCACTTAGTTTTCTACAATACTCAGTGACCTTAATATTAAACAGAATTGCTTTATTTGGTCTTTTAGAATCCATTTTAATTTTAATTTTCTTTTTCAATCAATCAAAAAAAATGCTTATATCGCATGGGTTGGAAGCGATCATTTAATCTGCATGCACTAAGTACCATATCTACGGTAGAGGATAAATTACATGCTACTTAGAGCTTTTTACCATTAATTCATAGTGGAAAGTGGATTTTGAAATAGACGTGTTTGATTTAATGGCCGACAAAGTTCTATTCCAAAATCGGTATAACTTGATTTTTCTATAAAACACCTCTATATTGCTTTCATGATTATATTTTTTATTGCGGTGTTGAAGAAATACAGGGAAGTTTGGGATTACTTTTAAAATCTATATTTACACAGCATGAAATAAACACTCGAGTATGAATAAGATTTAGCAGTGACAAATTTACATCGACAGGGTGATAAAAAAAAACAACAACAAGAAAAACGAATATCAAAATTTGAAGAAAGTTGTTTAATACTTTTCAATAACTGACCATGAAATATAACAATTATTTGTTCGTGGCTGACCTATATTTTTTTGGTTTCGTGGAGAATTTGTCATAACAAAATACGGTCGTTTTGCTAGCAGTAGGAAGATACCTAATCGTCGGTACCTTTTGGTCATAAAATGTTAACGGAAAAACTCATTTACTTTGTTACGGAATTGTTCAGTTCAAAAATAACCGAAGGATATTCAAGACAAACAATGGAATTGTTTTTACTTACACTTGCGAGCACCAATTATTCTTGGACAGTTTCCTTGCATTGAAAGAAACGGAATTACTGAGTTAAACCTAAAAAATAAATAATAAAGTCAGGAAATGAAGTCCCTTTTTTACTTTTTAATTGAATAATTCTTGACTAAAGCAATTTCTCCGCCGCTCTGCCTTGAAGTAAAATTGCAGTTCAGTAATGTAGAACACCTTAAGTACACTATGGTACTGTTATTAAACTACATTTGCTTTCGTCTGCGGGCTTCCTGTTGTGGTAATAGTCCCCCCCCCTTACCCCACATAAAACGAATCGAAAAATGACGATCTGATTTTATTTGTAGTTAGAGCTTGTTTTCAGTAGCATTAATTCAAAGTGGACAGTGTATTTTTATCTATAAGGTTATTAGACTACTAAACATTGAAGTCGGCATGTTTACCTTCCCATGAATTAATAAATCTCATTTATAATAGTTGAGTCTACATGTAGCTACAAGAAAAACACAAAACGGAGACCCCATGCCATGCAGTAATTGTTTAATATCAAATTAATATGCACACATAAAGAATATCGTTGTTACAGAATTAATTGGTTGCCTGACGACAAAACACCACTTTGAACTCGATGTCCTAGGAAATATCAGATCAAAACGAAGGTAAAACAGTTTTTCACTTCAACCTTATTTCATTAACAGCTCAAAAATTACAATATTTGCAAGATAACGCCATAATAGTTACTTATTGTGATGGCCAATTCTCCTATCAGTCGGCAAAGAAATAAAGAAATATGCCTTTTGGTAAATACGTTCATTTTGAGATAGTTAGAACCATTAGGCTCTGTTTCACTATGTGATGTTTTGGTAACGTTCTTTCGTTTGTTTTTCTTGAATTCCTTGAGAAAGAAAAACAACCGAAAACAATAGGAAAGTTGCAAGAATACGTTCACACAGCATTACCTTTCGGTCAAAAATAAAGACTAGTGCAGCTGTTTTATACTGATTGCGAGTTTGATGAGTCCTAAGCCTCTGCCATTGGGATATGATATAACTAAATTTACGAGAAAATGTTAAATTTGAAATTCAAAGGAAAAGAAGATTCTGCCGTGTTTATTTTGTTTATATTATTCACAAAGATCAAAAAGATGATAATAGTTTTTGTATGTAAACAAAATTAAATGAAATATTATGAAGTGTTCAAGTGTAGCAATCTTTATCGTTTGATTCAATTGTTCCACATATATTCTGAAAAAAACCTCCGTCGCAATACATAGTTTAAGGACATAAAACTTGTTACTTAGCATTCTCTTGCATAATTATGAATAAATATCTGATACATTTGTCATGTTTAATATAAAGCCGAACTTTTACAGTCATTTGCAAAAACTTTATATTATAATTTTATATCATTATTTTGGGTGCATCACAGGCATTTCATGTGATTTTTACTCTTTTCTCGCTAAAACAGATCGCAAATACTTTGAAATAATGTTTATTTATTCAAGCATATCTGCACGTTTATGACAAATTAGAGGTTTACAGTTGACATTGTAAGTTACCCTAGTAATATGTATTGATATATTCATAAGTTAACGCGGAAGAATTCCTTCAATTGTAATAAATACAAAAATTGGATTGGTTTACCGTGGAATGACTTTCCTGAACCTGTCTATAGAATACACAGCTTAACTCTTTAAGTAGTTGAATTACCGTTTTCAAGATTTGAATCTCAGCGATAACATGCCACGAAGGGAAATGCGTGACCACTTAGGTCTGAAATCATGTTTAATAATAATTCAAAGCAAAAAAAAAAAAAAAAAAAAAAAAAAAAACAAACAAACAAAAAAAAAAAACATGCGTGTTATAGGTAGTTTAATGGATTATTTGAGCACAGGGGCTTATCACTTCTAGGTAATTTGCTTTGTTCGCAACAGAACTACTTTCTAGATTGGATTCAAAGAGGGAACACATTCATTTGGAAGTCGAATATTAATCTAATGGAAAAGGGATTTTGTGATAAAGATTATCTCACTCGAGAGAATTAATCGTCAAGCAAGGACAGAAGTTACAAGTCAAGAAAGATACAAAATTTATAAGAAAATTAAATTAAATCGCATGACAATTACTAAAAATCTCGTCAATTTTGCTATAATATCCAGCAAAAGCGAGCAATCTTTTGATGTTTGATATTTCAGCTTTAACCAATAATGACGCATAGATATACAGCTATTTCAAAGAATGTTGTCGGGGAGAACGGAGAACGGCGAAGGGAGATTGCACGACCGAAAGGGACTATGGTCACACTGTTTTGATAAACAAAATTTCACTTATTGGATTAGCCTTACATAGAAATGGAGACTAAATGGAGTCAATATTTACCACAGACTATCTTACAGTACAAATCAGTTGTTATTGCCTTTCAACAACAAAACCTATGGCTACTTTCCACCGTTCCACCATTGACACAAAATAGCCATTTTATCCGACAACCTTTTTTGATATAATAGTTATATCAACTGTTACAAAAAGGCTAAACGGAGTATTCATTCCTTCGTTAAATTTTGATTAAAAGTGAATTCGTTGGGTTTGTCATTTGCACTCTACAAAATAACTTTTATCTTAATAAGTTGTTCAAAAATATGAATAATGTATAATAGTAAATAAACATTTCAACTTAAATGGCATTTTATCAGTAAAAAAAGCGAAAAACAATTAGTTGGTGAATAATGAATTATCATAAAATACTGCAAATATCATGAAACCATAAACAAACCAGTTTGCACGAAAGCTAGATAGCTATACCACAAGTCACACACTCTTTTGGGAAAAAAATTGAGAACCGAGTAAAAGTTAAAATTATAATTGAATATGAGGGGCTTTGGGAAGTCTACCCGAAAAATTACCTCTAATTCGCCTTGTTTATTTTATCACCTTAAAAACAATAAAGCCGCCATCTTGAAATACACTCATTTTAATATCGATTCTAAGATACACTATCGGATGCTCAGGGCACCAAACAAAAAGTTGAGACCGCATGGCTTTTAAAATGTTGCTGAATTTGAATATAATATCTTGAAATGTCAAACAAAACAAAAACAATACACATACATTTTGATGTTTTCGAAAAGCTTTTTGATTTTTTTCGTCAGCAATGTGACGAAAGAAGAAGGTGATTTAGATGACGGAAAAAATGAATACGCAAAATTTGAATAAATTAAAGTTTCCTCGTGGTCTGACCACCTACTTAAAAATCCTTTTAGCGACGCTATATTCCATGCGATATCTGATACAGAGGTCCCGCAAAACCGAACTGATTCGCAGTTTTACAAAACTGTTATTCGGTTAGTAAAAAATGTGGTCTTGAAGCCCTGTGAGCTTGATTCATGTGGTCAAACAAGATACGTTATCTGCTATGAATAGTATCTATTAKAAAAGATTTACAACATTTTGGCGAGGTTTTTTTTTTAGAAACAAAAATTATCTTTTATTTATGTCGGTCGGTTTAACTTTCGGTCTTTTGAATGTCGTCATCAGAAGTTTCTTTACGTACAACAGAGCTGCCGAAGCAAATCAGTTGAAGCAAAGAGAGGTGTTGATTTAGATTTGTAAAAGTGTCATTTAAAGATTTGATAATCAACGCTGGATTTTCTTATGATTATTGCATTAATTATATCAATTATTATCTTAATTGACATTCTTTTTGTACAGTGCATTCGTTCTCATTTTCTTATCAAAAAAAAATTCGTCAATTGAATGTTTACATTTTTATTATTTTTTAGTTAGGAATTGCCATGAACTCTTTTTAATCGGATGCATTTATAATGATTGAATTGACATCAAACTTACAGAGCACTTAATGATATATTCAGTATGGATACACCTAATTGAAAAAACGTAGTCGTGTTCGAAAAGGTCACATCATAGAAGCTAAGACTGAAAGGGATTTTGAGTACCACTAAATTGAGATTATGTTTGCATATACGGCGTATAAGTGCACCGTAAATCAAGTAGCTAGAGCTAGTAAGATTAACAGCATGCTAGTATTTCATGATGGAGAGCTGTTTGTATGAAATTAGCCAAACTGTTTGTCTTCCCAAGTACCCTTTCGGTCTTAGCTTCTATGAGTTGACCTTTTTGGACCCGACAGAGTTTCTTCAATTAGGTGTAAAATATCTTAATAGCATAATTTTGTCTAGATCTCGTTTAGAAAAAAAGTAATCATTTAAAATGATTTTAATTACTTTCAGCATTTTGTGACGTTGTAATTCAAAAAAATTGCTTTATCAAAACCCATACACACCCTTTCTGAAAAGGAAAATCACGATTTGTTGTGGATTAGGCTCAAGAACACCATATTTGGCCAAAACACCATATTTGTTGTTTGTAACCAATCTAGCAATACAACACAATACAATGCGTGATGCTATTTTTAGAAAATACATAATAAACTTTGTAATAGACTTCTGAATCTTTTACGTCACTACTTGATTTTCTATGTATTGCGGGATTAGTTTCAAGAGAAATTCAAGACAAAACAAAAGAAATCCGCCATGTTCTGTCCCAAACATATCCTACAATGCATTGCGTACATAACGTTAAAGCTTCAGAGGTCTATCTAACAATACATTTCCATCTACTCTCATTGGTGGAGAGTCGACCACATGACATGGTAGTGCACGCCGCCGTGGTGCCCTCTATCTAACAACTATATTCATCTAAAAAGACTCTTTTTGATTCGAGGATTCGAGAAGCGTTTTTCTCTACCGGATTAAGTAATCACTTCTCAAGGAAAACCATGAAAGATGAATTGCCACGATTATTTGGTGAAATACTGAAAAAAGTTCAAAAGCACACTTGGAAGGGATATAATTTTGAAAACCTTTTTTGGTTGTTTAATTTAGACTCTTAACTCCCGCTCGTATTCTCAATTTCACTGGCGAAGGAAACACAAAAATCCTTCACTTTTCCCAAAATATATTAATAATTCCCCATAAATATCATCATTAATCTCTTTAAGTATTATAATTGGGCAATTTTTCCTCATTTTTATAATTTAACCTTATGTACCCCCTACCCCTGCTAATGAATTGCGAAAGAGTCATTTCAAAGATATTCGCGAGGCGGCCCATCATGTCAGGCCCACAAGCAGCGATGTGTTTATTTGCTTAATAAATGAAATTGACAGCTATTCGCTAGACAGAATATTTGTAAAGCACTTTGCTTTGTTTGTACGATCTGATTCTGCATAACATACTGTCGAAACAGTAGAATGTTATTTTACCGTTTTGCTACCGATAACAAGAAGTGAAATGTTTTGAAATATTCTCTGTATCACCAAAAGATCGAGGAAACACTTTTCATATGTAAGTAAACATGATTTTTTTAGGGTTTTTTTGTTTGTCGCTTGTGGGTTTATACTGAACTACGATATATTCAAACAACAGAGCCCCAAAAGATCTACAATCCCTCTTAAATATGCGATATCCTTATAGAGTTTAAATCAAAGACATTTAACATTTCCTTTGATTTAAGCTAAACGTATTCTCGCTGGTTGACATAAATTGAAACTGAAAGCTATTTATAAACATAAACCAATACACGAAATAAATCAGTGTTGTTTATAAAAAAAGTTGAATATAAAAGTACGCCCCCAAATGTAATTTCATTATATCTAGCTATTTCAATATTCATCAGAAATCATCGTATATCATATAGTATACATTTTCTACGTACATTTTTTTCACAAAATTGAACAGGGATGGGTTTGGTTTATATTCAATATAAAGATGTTGAATCTCTCGAACATGAAAGGTCATTTCCATTATCATAATAATACTATTGTTCTCAAAATGTTTTACAATAATTTCTGCTTCTTGCACAGCTCAGAGCAGGATATTTGATAAGAAAATGTATCTCTGTGAAAATTGAGTAAGATTTTTTATTGAATATATTATTTTATCGACGAATCTGTGGGGCCGACATTACTATTAAATATTTCTATGCGCGCGCGTACGATTGGAGCTCACACTGACGAATCCTGTGAGGATGTCCAAAATGGACGAAAGCGTGGCAATACATAAACACCTTTTCAAAAAAAGTGGTTGATTCTTTTTGATGACCACCATTTTCATATTTTCTTGAATATTCGTGCGTGGCACAGCAAGAATTAAAACGAGCATAAAAAAGAAACAGATGTAAGAGCTTTTCAAACAATTCCAGCTGTACACAAATTAAAAAGGAACAGCGGCAACATGAATATAACTGACACCTTTGAGAAGACAATTTCAGCGAGCTTCTCGTCGACGTAGGGTGTTATTTGTATAAGAGACATCTCAATTCCTATAATGAGGCACATTGCGTCTAGACACTCAATCTTTTTTAATGCTCATACAAGGCTTATTCCATGTTTTCTCCAGGGAAGAAAAAGATTGGTTGACGAAGAATCTATTGAACATTTAAAAGACAATACACGGGGACCCAAGCTGAGATTGAATGAAATTTAAATGCTCCCATCTCGGGAATAGACACTTCATTATGATAAAATAATTACAAAATCATTTGACAAGGAAAACAGAGGCAAAATGTATATGGGAAATCACCATTGTGTATTCGAATACGTTGCTCTTCGAGTAGGATCTCTGTTTCTATTCGTGAAACGGTGATGTGACATCATTTTTCTTTCAATAGGATACTAATTTACATTTAAATTACAATTAGAAAAATCAGGATTACAAAATATAGTCAGGGAAAACACGTAGAAATGACAAACATGGATTCCTGCTTTTATTCTCTTTTTAGATATTCATAAAGAATCTAAAAAAACAGTGAAAAGTATAATAAAATGCCTTTATAATAGCGTATTTTAGAGTAAAACTTGTATATGCAAAATGACGATCGCATTTTCTAGTACGCAACATAGCGTGAATTTCATGCAATCTTAAAAGGACACCGTGATTTATATATTCTCCTAGTGTACATCTCCGACTGATTGAATCCTAACCGCAAACTTGTTCCTGAGCAAAACGTGTGATTTATTCTTCGTTTAAAACAAGAAGCGGACTAATTCTGCTAGCTGCACAAGTGTCAATCAATCGACCTTTCTCAAATGATGCCTCGAGACATTTTTAAGTGAATCTTAGAAAAAACAGCGCAGCTTAAAATGACTTTATAATAAGACCAAACTACAAGCTTGCCGGCTGTGTTGTCAAATAATGGGTTAGCGGTCTGTATAGTCTAGCCATTTATTTTACTTGTATGGAAATACCAAACGTAAATTTTAGAAATATAATGAAGGAAATTCCAAATCAAATCGTCTATAACTCTTACTGTATATTCATCCACAGGAAGTGGAGTTAATCATCACGGAAAACAAAGCATTTGGACTGAAAGCTAAAATCCACTGCATATGATAGCCAATCAGAGGAGCCCTTATATTGCTAGAGGAATTTTCAATGGTTATAAGGCCGGCCATTAACATATGAAGCTTACATGCTATAAATATAGAGAAACAGGTTTACCAGAGGAGAACAAAATCGAGTGTTCAATGATTTCCAATGTTCCAAGCAAGTGTGGCTAGCGGTGGTCGCTCCAATTCTGTCTTCAGTAAGGCTAGTATTTACAGCAATACTATCAACTACACGACCTCAAGGTCACAGCTTTCGTACAATAAAGTTAAACGATCTGCTACTGAAGAAGCACTTTATCGAGCCGGTTTGAGACCATATAATGACGATAAGAGGATAGTATTCAACGTCAGCGGCCGACGATTTGAGACTTGGGAAAGCACATTAAAGAAACATCCAAATACAGTGTTAGGAAGTACAATGATCCATCGATTTTACGACAATGAAAGGAAGGAATATTTTATCGACAGAGATCCATATTTATTTAAATTCATTCTTAATTTCTACCGACGTGGGAAACTGCACTGCTCTCTGGAAGACTGCCCGGCTGCATTTGAAGAAGAGTTAAATTTCTACGGACTTTCTGTATTTGATGTCGACGACTGCTGCTGGGAGTTGGCGACTCCTAAGGAGAGGCATGTGCTAGTGGAAGATGATGATGATATGCCTGGTGAGGTCATTAAATGCGAAGGGAATTCTAACGTTTATTGTGAACCCAAGTTTTCACTGAAACAGAAAATATGGAAAACAATAGGGCCTTCAAAAACAACGAGATCCGGAGTCCTCTTCCACATAATCTATGGAATATTTATATTTATCAGCGTATTGATAGTTACTTTGGAAACCTTGCATTGTGATCGAAAAAGATCTTGCGGTGATGTCTACCATATTGAGTTCTTCAGTGTTGACACAGTTTGCGTGGCGATCTTCACCACGGAGCTTATGCTGCGGTTCTATGTTTGCCCAAGAAAGCGCAAGTTCTTCAAAGAATTTCTGAATATTATTGATTTATTATCCGTACTTCCTTACTATATATCACTAGTTATTGAAGCATTTGGGGTCGACAGCAGTTTTCTACAGATACTAAAAGTCCTACGAGTACTTAGAATTCTAAAATTGACAAGAAATTCCCGTCGTTTGCGCTGTTTGCTGTTGACTCTACGTCGCTGCGCGGTGGACATCATCTTTCTATACTGCATTTGCCTTCTAGCTATTATATTATTCGGTACGGCGCTTTTCTACCTACAAGATAACACCGAGCCCCGTCAGTTTGGGAGCATCCCGGAATCTTTCTGGTACATTTGCATTACTCTGATGACTGTTGGGTAAGTAGTGTCTGTAAGTGATGTCAAAAATCTGTCTTCCTAAAGTGGCATTTGAAGTCCTAATACATTCACCTTTTTTTAGTGTTTGGACACTTTATATGTCAGTTAAATCTGCCAGCATTAATGAGTTTATGAGCCCAGCGTTTTAAATAAAAATACCTTAGATTATTTAATTCATATATGTAGAAGAAAGCAATGATAATTTTATATTTTAGGAAGATTTCACTTTATTTAATGGAATCATATGTTGTGTTTGCAAAAACCAACATTATATTACAAACACTATTAAATATATTATTGTGTGAATATTTGCATTACTAATGCTTAAATTCAGAGACAGTTTATTTTTTCCCATGATATATATAATATATCATTATATTAATGAACAAAATATGCACCCCGCATATGCTTAAAGATAGCAGAAGTTACTACGTTATAGTTTCGTCAAATTCACAGCGAATTCAGCTAAAAGACACTCATGCAACCATACAAAATGAGAGGAAAAAAAAGAAAAAATTCTAAAAAATAACAAGTGCTAAGTCTAAAAAAAATGAAATGAAAAAAAAGGAAAATAATTGAACACAAAATCCTGACCTAAACACAACAGTAAGCTTAGAGTTAGAAAAGTTACCAAGTGCTGTTTAAAATCATGATAATTTTTGGAAATGTCATAGAGGAAGTCGAAAAAATAACTGCTAAGTCTAAAAATAACAACGAGGAATGGTAAACTATGCAGTGTTTATAGGTTAAAGTTTTTAATAGTGAAAACTAAGAAAGAAAGACGGCCAATAAATTAACGTGACATCTTATAAACTCAGCAATATATGTAATGGGTGCTTATAAGACACAATGGCATGGAACAAAAACCAAAAGAAAAATATCAATATCAATTTTAACAGATACTTTAAATCCTTTGTTGACTTTCCAAGAGATTTTCGGGAAAATATTTGCTTTAGAAAGTGTTTTTCTTTGTATTGGAGAAAGCAATGTTAATAACCTCTCTAATAATCTGACAACTTTGAATCTAAAGGAAAAAAGCCCTGATTGACAGAAATAGCTATAATTAAACGCCAGAGAAACTGTTTCCACGGACATGAAGTCTTCAAAATAGGCTTTTCGTCTTTTTTGCGCAATACTGTAGCCTGAAGCTTAAACATTACCTTTTTTAGTCCTGTGAAAGCAAGGGCAGTCTGTAAGCGAATATATTTTAACCGACGCATTGGTTAAGCATCTACATGTCTTTATATACACCAAAGCGCTGTTTAAACGGTTATTTTCATAACAGCTTTCATTGAAAACAATCTGAAAATGATCGTGTGGGTTGAGAGTTTTTTAGTGGTTCACAAGACGTCTGGGACATGGTCTTTTCCTGCATTTGTGGGCGTTTGAAATGCTAGTCTTGAATAGCTCGTTGAAAATTGTAATCAGTTATCAGCAATTCTTGACAACGACCCCCCACCCTTCGAATAACAGTTCAGAAAAAACTGAATAGAATAACAAAATAAAATATGAAGTACAACAACGAATAATTGTAATTAAAAATTCTCACTATCAGTTTTTCATTTTGAAAATTCAATCAATCCAAAAATGCAGCCAGGATGGCACCGAACGTAGACATCCACCATATTTCCTACAATTTGTACCGTCAAATTTATTAAATTGTTGTACCTGATTAAAAATTACTTTGACGGCCATTATCGATTATTACAATTTTTTTTACTGAAATGAACAAGGCGTGGCACAGTTGTATAGTTCCTTCAAATACGACCTATATCATTTTTCACTTCAATAATTTCTACTTTTTTTATTCGGATTGTTGTTATTTTCATTAAGCAGCTTTTTGTCATTTTATTTATTCGCTTTGCTTTCATTTTTTCTTGTTTAAATTGAAGTTGTATTTCATTTTTATACACAAAAATTATCCAAGACGAACAAGAAGACCCATGTCAGTACGCGGCTTCCAATTTTATAAATACACCGCCTACTCTAGCTTATCACTATCTGATTGATTGCTAGCCAAGATCTCAAGTACTTTACGCCGTGCTTTTCAGATATTACTATAGAGCATGTTTTGATAAATATATGGATGTCTTTTGGTGAATTAATCATATAGTTTTAATTTATAAAGTCAATCTTTAAAAAAAGATATCAAAACATATATATGACTTAAAAAATGCCGTTTAATTTCAACAAAGTGCAACTGTTTAGTTAACGCAAATAAAATATTCTATTTTCTTATTTTTCAAAGGAAAAGGAAAAAAAATAAAAAATAGAAAATATATATATTTGAGGTGTTTGGTTTTCTAGTTAATATTTCAATTGAAATAAAGAATACAAAGAAATTTCTCGAGGGCTGACTTTAAGTTGTCAACGAAGGAAATGTAGTTAGTTTTTTAATGATATAAAAGGCCCTTTCGGGTGAAGAAAAGATGTCATTAAAGAATCGTGTTTTTAAATACGAGAAAAAAACGCATTACAGCATGTCTTCAGATTAAATCCTTTCGAAAAAACCCCAACACCTTCAAGAACAACAGCTTTATTATTAAAGAATAATATACAAAAATACTGAAAAATGTTAGTCCTTTATAATTTCATAAGGAGCCATTTCATTATTATCTCTCCTTTGTCTAATACTTTCAACTTGAACTGAGAATTAAGTTTCATTGATTAATATTTCATAGAAATCCATTAAATTCAAGTTTTATTCCTGAGGAGGCATACTATGATATTTCATTCAAAGTGCTTTACTTTTTTTTATTACAAATAGTCCCTCTGGCTGCGGCCATTATATTTAATCTGGGATTATCTTTAAGAGACTTGACTTTGAATTGTCCCATAATTACGACGCCAGTGTTCAAATAAAAAATGGAGAAAAACGTTCAAACACCCACACAAGTCAATTGGGAGTTCTGAATACGAAGAATAGAAGAGACTATCATTTAAACACCATTTTGATTCTATGTTTGAAGTACGAATATATTTTTTTAAAGAGAATTTCAGGAAATTGTAAGTGAAAAAAATATTGGAATTCTTTGTTTTTAATATACGCCACAGCGGCCATTTTGAACTTCAGCAAAAGATTTCTCATTAGTATCTATTGTTCATTCATCCAACATGGCCGCTGGTCTTTTATCTTTTGAATCATGAGAATGATTGTACGATCAATTACAAGAAGATCTTATTTTCAATATACAATAAAATACAAGGGATATTTTTTTTACGGAACTTAATTCACAGAGAATGCACTCGACATACCAAGGAAAGAGCACTGATCCTTAAACATTTTAATTTACAATTTTCTACAAAGTCAGTTCCCATGCTTAAAATATCATAAAAACCATTTTTTAGTATATATTTAAAAGAAAATAACCATTCCATATCTTAAATCATCAATGCTTTTCATGGTCATATTTAACAAATAAATACATTCAGCGTTAACTGAATAAACTATGCTTATAACTTTGTGGTACCGTGACAAGATTTGCTAATGGTAACACCAATTTAAAATAAGAGACCTCGTTTAATTAATTCCTGGGAAAAACCAATGCTTAATACAAAAAATAAAGTTAGGCGAGATAATAGACAGGAAACGACAGTAAAAAAAATTATTTTTAGTTATTTTTTTATTTATTATTATTTTTATATACACTGGTAAATTGATTGCAGAAACTGTACAAAATATTTAAAGAAAATGCCAAGACCAAAAAGGTCCACAAAACTGCGCAAGCAGCTTGTGTATGATAATATATTGAACAGCACAATTCTTGCAGTCACTTTGTTGTGGTTAGCACGTTTAAAGTAAACGCGATAATGACGCGACGGTGCCAGCACCGATCAAGCCAAGAAGTAGATATGGCCTAGATATGAAACTTATCGTGGAGTAATTCACTTGTTATCTATCTGATATATCTCGGAGATCATCGCTGCAGAAGAGTAAGATATAGAATTGAGCTACAAAAACTATTGCCTTCCCGGAGAGTTCATGCAAAGCTAAATAAAAACAAGAAACATTCGGTCACCAAATAACATCAACATTGAATGGAAAGAAAAACGGATGAATTGAGACCAAACGGAATGAAAAATAAATAGAAACAAAGGAGAAAGCAAGGAGAAGACGAAAGGTCGGATACTAACTTCACTTCAATCCCTAAGACGAGATTTATTCAATTCTCTTAAGACACAAGTGTTTTCACACGTTTTACTTTTCAGACGTCTCAATTTTCTAACCAAATTTTATATAAATACAAACGAACAATCATTTATGTTTTTTTTTTTGCATTGGGGATGAAATTAACTCATACACATGTGAATAAAAGAAAAAATAAAATAGCTGAAACACCGCTAAATGAAATACCATGGGATTTCGAATCCAAGTGATTCGCTTAGAAACAAAAAGCATTGGTCGTCGGACATGGTCATTTCGTGATGACAAATTAAGCTTTTTTGTAGATGCCGCGATATAAAACGGGACTTGAGAGACTTGCCATAAAAGGGGACGTGCAGTGTTGATGTTGTAGAGAGGCATTGTTTGATAAAATAGGAATTTTTCAAAGCTGTTTCCATTCGTTGCTTGAACGCGGCAAAGGCGGCTTTCAAAGACAGATAATATAGGCACGATTGGCGGCGTGGTGATAAAGTATAGGTTAATCTTTCTTATATAAAAACCTTATAAGAACCGACGCTTTTCAAGTAAGACGATTATACCCCATTAGCCCCTTGTTCTTTGTCAGTATGGGAATAAAAGCTTCAAGGAAGTATTAAGCTTAATGCTCGTTCGATAAGATTCCGACTTCGGTGTCTTTCTGTTTTTCTTCTGTTAGGAAAATATTTACCAAATCACTCCAGGGATTCGGTGAAGTTATTATAGCTGCCTATTCAAGCCACCGCTGAATCAAGAAAAGATATAAACGTTTTATTAACAAAACATCCTGATTGACTTTCGTCTTGTTTCATCATTTTGTTCACTAAATCTTTGTGTGCCGCTTTTGTTCAGGCCCTGTGTTTAGCCATTTTGGTAATCTAAAAATTGCCTCTGTCTATATAACTTCAGTTCTTCGTAACGTTTTGCTAAGATTTATGAATTGAATAGAGTGTATACTGTCATGTAGAAATCCCTTTTTATTTAGTGAACTCGCACTATTTTAAATTTCCCGTTTTGCTATTTTACTCGCATTATTTTGTTCCATTTCATTCCCATTTCCTCGTTATATTCGTTTTTTCAGTTATTGACCTTTGAATTTCAGTCAAGCCTTTTTTACAAGGATTTTTATTTCACAATTTAATTTTTGTAAACTCACATAATATAACTATGATCTACTTATCGGGTTTTCATGTCTAGATTCTTTCAACAAGGCATTTATAGAATAGAAATATAGTGAATTTGTGTGAATACCTTTATGTTAAAGTCAAAATATGAATTATTGAGTATCTCGTTACAAATACAACTATTTTCAAACCACGTTCAAACGAGGACTGCTTGATCTGATCACACTATTTCGCCCACGCTGATGGGCGACCAAGAATTTGTCGTTTGGTCATTCAATCAAACCATATTCAACATTACTTTTGTTCTCGGGTTTGCTGCGGTGTGATGTTCATAGACGTTTCGCCACCGAAAAATTTGTTTGGATCAAACAAATTAATGTTGGATGATCAACATTTCTCTTTATGTTGAGGCTTTATATTGTTATTTAAATTGCTGTTGTTGCTGGTGCTGTTGATGTCGCTGTTGCTACCGCTGCTGTTGCTGCTGATATTGCTGCTGGTGCTGTTGTTGTTGCTGCTGCTGCTGTTGTTCTTCCTGCTGGTGTTGCTGTTTTTGTTGTTGTTGTTGTTGCTGCTGTTGTAGTTGTTGCTGTTGCTGTCCGTTTAAGTTGTTGCTCCTACTGCTGTAGTTGTTGCTGTTGTTGTTGCTTCTGCTGTTGTTGTTGTTGTCATTGCTCCATTTGCTGTTGTTTTTGTCTGCCTCTGTCGTTCTTGTCTTCTATCTCCTAGCTCATGTATCAAAGCCTAATTTTGTCCAAACCCATACCGAATTAACCATAAAGTATTTAAACTTCATCAGTTCATATAAATATTTCATTGCCTCATAAAATACCACATATTTCAGTACATGCACATCCAACTTAGCCGAAGTTGTTCTAAATACATTTTTCTTCATTTTAATCTTAGGTACGGCGACGTGGTCCCAACAAACGTTGCAGGGAAGATAGTTGGCAGCATTTGTTGTGTATCAGGAGTAGTGTTACTTGCTTTGCCAATCCCAATACTACAAGAAAAGCAAGTGCCTTGTACACTTGAGTCCGTCAAATCTAGACATCGTTTAATTCAGGAACAGAAGGCCTGTGGGGCTGGAGGTTGCGAGGGGCAACCATTATTACCCAATGAGGATCCTCAAGATAACTCGGTTTGCTGTTCTTCCTTGAGACAACACTGTAGCAAGGCAAGAAAGGTTTTAAATAAGAGAGAAAACAACGGCTGATGCTGGATTTGATGGCCGCAGAGTTTAAGCTTAGATCAGAAATATGTATCGGTACGTTAAAAGTACGCATCAACAGACCTGAGATTTCATGGTCAGCGGAGATGAAAGTCATGATGACATATATGACTGGTCCCCAGTCTTCTCTCTCTGCAAGTCAAACTCCCACCCTTAATGCCTTACAGTTGAGAGTAAGAGGGCAGCAGTAAAACGAGTATGATGATAACAGGAATCTTTCAAAAAGGTCACCGCAAAGGTTGGCGAAGACAAGACCGAAAGCCGTCACTAAAGGCAATAAATCTCAATGACATCCATTCTTGTCATAGCTATATACCGAACAGAAGACAGTTTTAATCAACCCCTTTAAGCAGTCTATTACGGTTTTTTAGCCTCGAAACTATTTATTCTTTTATTCAGTAACAACCCCTGCGATCAGTGTGTCTAGAAGACAATGAAAATCTACTTTTTATCTACATTTCTGTATGTTTTACACACAATTGAGGATAACACAGTGTAAAAGACATCGCGAAACTCGACTATTGATGACAAAAAACTTATTACAACCTCATATTTTAGTTATTTCATAAAAACGTTGTCGAAAAATGGAAGATAGGAACTATTGGTATAGAATATCGACGATCTCAATGGTCGACTGAGTGACTCCTTTTTAAGGGGATAGCCGCTGTCTTATTTGACAACAGATTCCCTTACGCAAAGACTAGAAATAACGAAAATTATGAACAAATAAAAGATAATGTCATTACAATAGCCATAGCAATTTGCTAATTTTTTTTATTTCGTTTAGAGATTAAGCCTCTTTTTCTACAATATCTAAGGTTTAAGCGTTTTAGGAGTACAAGTTTGGCCTCAATTCAGTTCAACGGAAAATGTAAATTGTAAGAGCTAATTAACCTCCTCCGTAGGTAACTCTATATAAACTCCTTTTCTTTTTATTTACGAGCTTGAGCTTCCTTTGGGCTTCCTTTAGTCTTTTGTATATTTGTTCCCAGAGAGACTTCCAGAGAGAGAAAGGGAGATGAGTATGACAGAGATGCCTGCATAGGAGGCTAAGAGCTAATGAAAGGAAAACATTTTTCCATACTTCGAACGTTTTTGTTTGTTTGCTTATTGTTGTTGTTTTTTCGAGTTCTTTGCTAGGGGGCATCTATTGTCAAGTATAATTAACAATTACGAGCTAATAGCCCATGAGTCAGTATAAACATACTAATCGGTCAAATAATGAAAACAAATTGAAATATCCTTAAAATAATTTATAATTTATAATTTATATATATAATATCAAAGAGGCAAGATTTTGCTGTTACTCCGAGTTTCGTGCTACGCACTCATCAGACAGTATTTAATGATCTTGCCTCTTTGATATTATATATATAACTAGCTCTACACTTTATGTGTATTGAGCACTCTTTAATGGGATCAGCTACTTCCTCATACAATTAATTTATAATTTATTTATTTTGATTTTTCCGCGAGTGGTATATCACAAATTAAACCATTAGTAGAGTAGCCAATCACAGCGCAGTATGAGTGATAGACCATTAGTATGTTTATACTAACACTGGTTATCCGGTATAAACTAGCATATAGCTATTTCAAAAAAGTTTGTCGGATAAAATGGCGAATGTCAATTGTCTAACGGCGATTGCACGACCGAAAGTAGCTATGGGTTTTGTCTGTTGAAAGGCAATAACAATTGATTTGTATCGTAAGATAGTCTGTGGTAAACATTGGCTTCATTTAGTCTCCATTTCTATGTAAGGTGAATCCAATAGGTGAAATTTTGTTTATCAAAACAGTGTAACCATAGTCCCTTTCGGTCGTGCAATCTCTCTTCGATGATCGCCGTTTGCCGTTCACCCGGACAACGTTTTTTTAAATATCTGTATAGAATAGAGTTATTTAGAGAGAGAATCATGAGTGACCCTCTATCGGAGTCTCGTTCCAGTCCAATATCATAAGATTGTTATCTACTGAAAGTGAAAGTAAGCGAAGAGTGATGCTTTACTGCTTCCAATCATTGAAGATTAATAAATAATCAGCTCAATGAAAAATATGTTCGCTTGTCTGAGTAATTTTGCCATCAACACCGATCGACCAATTATATCACACGTGGCATTTAGGATAAATAATTTCATGAACTCAGAGAGAAAGTGTTAATTTCATTGCCGGTTTGTTCAATTCCCGATTAGTGTTAATCCAGAGTTACCTCCATAGGTTCTTTAAGATTTGACCCAGGATTAGCGATAATCGAGATTTGAACAACTCGGCCCAAATGTGCACCAATTTTTTGTGCTATTTTTAAAAATGTTGGGTTATCCACGACACTACCTCTACCTATCGTGCCCAGTCTACCGAAAGTCTGTTGGCGTCACAGCGTTATTTACCAACTTTGAAATCTCATAAAAACTCCTATTTTTCCAATCTTCGATATTTTTTTCGTCAATACAATATTCAAGATGTCAACTTTTTGCATTGGATTTTCTCAAGGTGCATAAGCACTTTTAAAAAACATTTCTTTGGGATGGAAGAACACTTTAAAATAAATGGGTATCCTGTGTTTCTACATCTGTTGTGCTATCACCTTTAATTTTCGTACCCACAATACAGTTGCAGCTTCAAAGAACGTACAGTTCACACTCGAGAGGGACTGTTAAAGAGTTTATGGCCTTTTTTTTCCTGGGTACTAGTCCTTTTCGGTATCGTATGAACACGGAATTTCGTGTTAAATACAGAGTTTTTAGTGCAGGTTATTAATCTCCTTTATTGCACATCTCAGGACAATCATACACATATCATATTGAACAATAATTGAAAAAAATAAAAATAACTTTGCAATTTCAATACTTTTCGATTACTTAGGAAGCACGTGTTTCGAGAAAGCATAGAGTTTTTTTTAATGGAGGCGACTAATCTACTTTATTAAACATCTGAGAGGAGTATCAAATTGAATAATAGGTGAAAAATAAGATTGAGAAAATAACAAATAATAACACGGCGATTTTACTAAGAATCGATTAGCATAATGTTGCGAAAGACACGAAACCAGATAGAATGTAACTGTCACCGATATCAATACAACGATTTCTTGCCAACTTCTATAATGCGACATATCATATTACTATAAAGAAATAGGGCTAGATAACACAAATCACTCCCGTCCTACAAAATAAATAAACTAGTCTTAGATTATAATTTTCAACTTTATTATCACAGCAATTCCTTTTTTTAACACCCGAAGTAAAAACCAATTAGTTATACGTGGAAAAGGTGCAATTGGTTAAACAAATGGTCAACATTCATGGAATCTCTGACACCAAGACGAATTTTGTTATTTCCATATTCAGGTAAAAACCACCTGTTTACAAAAGACCCTTGGTGTTTGCACAGATTGAATTCTACGCAATTGGTAGATTTTTTTTCATATTAATACAATCTTTCTGGTTCACATACCTTCGTAGCAAAAGAAGTAAGAAAAAGATGTATAGCCGCCTTGTTTTTACTTACTGAATATATAATGATTTACTTCGGAGTTAATTAATATAACAGTCAACCGTCAAAAGGCATTCTGTATATCCAGGGCTATTTGCATATAAATGAGAAACAATGCAACTCAACTCTGTCTAAAGTTTCAGCAACGGACAACAACACAAGGAAACCCTTGATCTCAATCGAAAGAAAATGAGCTCACAAGAGGACTAATTCAAGAATGACTTCTCAAAACTACCGTATCAATATTAATGTCTCCGGAAAACACTTTTCCGCTAAGTTACAAAGCTTAAGGAAGTACCCAAATACACTTCTTGGCAGCGAGTTCTTGCGGTTGTTTTACGATCATGGCAAGGGGGAGTACTTCTTCGATAGGGATCCGGAGCTGTTTCGATTCATTTTGAACTATTATCGACTTGGGAAGCTGCATATTTCTGAGATTGAGTGCCCGGGAGCGTTACAGGACGAGTTGGATTTTTTCGGTATACCGAATTCTGCGCTCGACGAGTGTTGTATAGGATTATTCACCAAGGTGAACCAAATTGAGAACGTTCACGTGCCACACTGCAGGCACAATATAAAGAAAACGCTTGGAAATCACGGCAAAAACGAAAAAAGAACTCACACTGTTATCAAAATGAAAAACGACGCGGGAGCAAGGAACAACAAACATCAGATTTACACTGAAAAAGTTGTAGAAAAGGATGACAAACTGGCTAAAAAAGTAAAGAACGGAGATGGAAATACAAGGACAAGAAATTCAAAATTAACTTTAGTGTGTAGTCACATCAAGAATACAAGCGATTCAGGAAATAACTACAAAAAAAGCTATCTATCACAGAAAATATTATACGTTTTCAAAAACAAGAAAATCCGAGCTATCCTACAATATTTGTATGGTTTAATGATATTAGGCAGCTCTTTGTGCAATACTGTCGAGACAATTGACTGCTATCAAGACGTCAAATGTGGACGACATTACGTTAAAACCTTTTTCGCCGTGGAAACGTTTTTCGTGGCTGTTTTCTCAGCAGATTACGTCATTCGCCTATTATTAGCGGATAATAAACTCCTCTTTATCAAACAAGTCTTAAATATTGTAGACCTGTTGGCCATACTGCCCTACTATTTAGAGCTAATTTTCACGGTCTTGGTTGGTGCTTCCGACGTGCTTATAACATTTCGTGTACTCCGCGTGCTACGTCTAATGAAACTAAGCCGCAATTCACCAAGGTTACAGACTCTCGTTCTGACCTTGCGTAACAGTTTCAAGGACCTACTATTATTATATTTTATCTTTATTTTTGGTATTCTATTGTTTGGTGGAGCGATTTATTACGTCGAGAGTGGAGGCAGCAATGCTGATAAGTTTACTAGTATTCCTCACTCGCTTTGGTTCACGTGCGTTACTATGGTGACGACTGGGTAAGTACTTTTAACAAAACATTTGTTTTAATGACCTGCTAATTGCGCACCTCTGGTGTGAAAATGTCACTTTAAGTGAATTGTTAAAATTTATAGATCAGCTTAAGAGATTCTATTCATGTTTTTTTATGGTAAAAGCCATTAATACAAAAGAGATATTTAGCGTGAGAGTAAATTACAGCATGTAAATTATTTCTTATTCAAATCGTTACCTGTCTGGACTATTTGGTCTATTACCATATATAGCAATTTTGAAAAAAAATTGACTGGATTTTGGAAAATGCACGGCCGAAAAGTACTATGGGTATTGGTTATTGGTAACGACTAGACCCATCAAAGGCGGTCAATGCTTTTCTTTCCTTTTTTTTTCGTTTTCGTTTTTGCTGTTGTTGCTGATTTTTGTTGTTGTTGTTGTTATTGCTGCTGTTGCTGTCGTTTTTTGTATTTTTTTCTTTGCTTTGCTTTTGACGATTTTGTATGGTTTGTCCGTGTTTCTTTTAATCAGATGAGTGCGAATACTGTCCATCAAAATTCGAATACCCACAGCGATTTTAGGTTGTGCTTCTGCTGTTCACAACCTTATGTTTTTAATAGCTATAAATGTAAATGATCACTTATATACCTTTTCATGTCGATTCTGTTACTTGGTGCAGGTATGGTGACGTAGTACCTGTGACAATATGGGGCAAGATATTTGCATCTTTGTGCGGTTTCTGTGGAGTTCTCATCATGTCACTGCCCATCCCTATCATGCAAGAACGAAAAGCAAATCAACAATCGTGAATTAGAAGAAACTACCACGCTGAAACTTAACAAGAGAAGAGTACTGGGAGGTGTGACTATACTTGCTCATACCTGGTAAATAGTTTAGCTAAGCAAGGGGAGTACAGCAAAATGATAAGTAGAAATATCTAGTTGTTGTTTTTAATATAAGAAGTTTCGATCTGTTTGTTAATTTGCTGTGATTTAAACTAGATTTTACCGATCGAAAGTTTTCGCCATTTTTTTCTTTTTCTTTCTTATTTTTTTAAAGATAGCTTTCCGCTGACCCGTTTGATCTTCGACTCGCCCCTTCGGGTTCGCAGGCAATCTTAAAGGTCAGCGGAAAACTATCTCACAAAATAAAATGGCGGAAACTTAAGGAAACAAACGGAATTTTTCCAAGTTCCCTTGGCTAAATGACTGCGTTACACTTTTGCTGCAGTGAAGTGTAAGACATAAGTAGCATCGCCATTTTGTGCAACGAAGCATGATTGAAGAAGCACTAGCATTAAATTCAGCACTTGTGCGGCTCGATGCAACAAAACGAGCCAAAGAAATTACATTTTGATTTATTGTATCTTTTTATACACTGAAATTCAGATTTTTGATTATACCCTAACATTGCTTGATTTCCGCTAAATTTTAGAAGAATCATTCTATATTTTTACAAAAATCAATGTAAATAAATTAAATCAAATAAATACATCACGGGCTTCCTGTGTTATTAATTAAGATTTAATTGTGCGCTCGCATTGTGACGTTATAAATCAGGCTACGACGCATGTGCAATGTCTGCGACAAAGGACCATATTTCCGATTTTAAACTTCCAGTTTCGTTGTGCTGATTTATCAGATGAAACTGATTTCGGAAATTGCTTTCCTTGCATGGTTTTTGACGTTATGCACAGTTTGTTCCTCAATGTCCATGGATTACATTGCAAGACGAGGTCGAAATTCCTACGTAGTCTACGAAAGAGCAATATTCAAACGTCAAACAGGAGAAACGACGCATGCCATACCACGTGGCATGAGAAGACCGCTGCCCTACCCGCGTAGAAATATCATCATTGATTTACCACCACTGAAAAGCAAAGTCAAACCCGGTGATAACGTCTTGGCCGAGTTAGGCCAAAACTATTTCGCATCTGAGATCTATTCAGACGTCAAGATCGTGAGAATTAAAAACGATAAGTACTATGTTAAACCAGTTTGTGACATGCAATCTCCGCCAGTTGGTATATACGACGACTATGTGCATTTTCGAGTCTCTGATTCAAGTTTCAAAGCCAGTAGTGTGCATCCCGGACATAACTACGCTGCGCGCTACGGTCGACTTTATAAAGATAATGATGGTTACGCTTGGTGCCCGAATTATCACGACTTCAATGTCCCATGGTTAAGTATAGACCTTGAAGAGTATTATTTCATCTGCAGCGTAAAGACATCAGGGCTGAACAGAGATAAATACACTCTAACTTACACAATGTCTGTATCCACCGATAGCAGAACATGGGAAGATGTTAAGGAAAATGGTCAAAAGAAAGTTTTTAAAAGACATGCTTCTCCAGATGTACATCACCAGTACATCGGGATGATTGACAAGCCTTATCGATATGTGAAGTTCTTTCCAACTTCATTTAAAACGTGGCCTTGTCTTAATGTCGAAATACACGGTCATGGAGAGATACAAACTAGTGGTCCATTTCCAATGTCCTTCCCTCTTAAAGCATTGCGGCTCAAAGGATCTGTATGCAACCTTCAAACAAAATGTCTAAATACGCCTAATGGCGAATGTAGCAGCGAGGGTTACGTTCCTGGCACCTACACGTGTAGGTGCAAAAGTGGTTTCCAAGGTCCACAGCAGTTTGATCCCGGTAACAAAGCAAACTGTATAGATATCAATGAATGCCTGAAAGATCCTTGTGGTAAACATACCGTTTCCTGTACCAACAACCCTGGCTCCTATAGGTGTAATTGCAAAACAGGTTACAAGAACGAAAACAAAGACCTTACCAAATGCCGGGACGTTGACGAGTGTATTGAACAGACTCCCTGCTCGCCAAATGCCCGGTGTTCCAACACGGATGGGTCTTACACTTGCGAGTGTAATACTGGTTACTACGGTGACGGGTTCACATGTACGGACATCGATGAATGCAACCCTATTGATGGTGTCGGCGGTTGCCAAAGTCATTACGCCGACTGTGTTAACACTCCAGGCAGCTACACATGTACTTGCTGGAAGGGCTATACGGGAGATGGGGATATTTGCACGGATGTAAATGAGTGTGCTTTAGACCAAGACCCTTGTGAATCCATCAATGGTAAATGTATCAATAATGTTGGTTCATACTTTTGCCAATGCAATGCGGGTTTTACACTTGTTGAAGGAAAATGTCAAGATGTCGACGAGTGCAAGTCACCTGATCTCAACGACTGCAATCAACTTGCTTCTTGTGAAAACATTCCTGGTTCCTATTCTTGCGAGTGTAAAAGTGGCTTTACAGGAAAAGGATACGATGCTTTTGGCTGCTCCGATATTGATGAATGTAAAGATAAAAACATCTGCGGTAGCAATTCTAAATGCTCTAATACCAAGGGCTCGTTCCACTGCACATGCGAACAAGGGTTTGCTAGTGTCAATAACAAGAACTGCGTCGATATTGATGAATGTAAAAATACCTCCGCCTGCAATTTTCATGCGACATGTCAAAATCTTCTAGGATCATACAAGTGTACGTGCTCTGATGGTTTCACTGGAGATGGTCAGCCAATCCCCAACGGCTGTTCCGCACTAGCTTGGTGTGAATGGAAAGGGAAAGCAATATGCGATCAAGAATTCAGGAAGTGTGACAACTCCTTGAAAAAATGCACTGAATGTTTACCAGGCTTTAAAGATGTCGACAGCACATGCAAGGATATCGACGAGTGCAGTGGAACCCCTTGCGGTGAGGGTGGAGCTTGCACGAACAGCCCTGGGTCATACACCTGCAAATGCAAAAAGGGCTTCCACTTCGACAAGAAACATAAACTTTGTAAAGACATCAATGAATGTAGTAGATCTAAACGAGTCTGCCATGACGACGCTGTCTGTAAAAATTCTCCAGGGTCGTTCGACTGCAACTGCAAACAAGGTTTTGATGGCGATGGCTTTTATTGCGCGGATATAAACGAGTGTTATACTGGTGCCTACAAGTGCCCTGCTCATTCTGTATGCTATAACTTACTTGGATCTTATAAATGCGTTTGCAAAAAGGGTTACCACACAACAGGATCGAAATGTCATAAAGGCGGAGCTGTTGATACAAATGCAAAGAAAACAGAGCCTGGTAAACTAGCTTCAGTGTACAGCAAAGTTGCTTTTTGGAATGGTTCATCGCATGGATTCACACCAAATATTTTCACTTTCGCTACAATGTTTGCTGTTCTAGTAGTATTCAGAGAACAGTTGTGAAAATTCCTTTGCTGCCATAAAACGTTCATTTAAACATGTCCACACACATCATTTCTTATATCTGCTCAGTGGCTGATCCAGGTTAAGGGTGTAGGTTAATGCGCCCCATCCTATGACCTTGTGCACTTCCCCAATGTGCGCACAGCTCTTTTGTAATCATTTCTCTAGCTAGTCAACCCCCCCTCCCATTGAGAAACCGGCATCTCAGAAAACCATCACCATGAAAAAAATTCTGGATTCGCTCCTGACTAAAAGAAAAGAATGATAGAATCCTTTGGGATTGCTCTATGTCAATAGATATATTCAAATCCCCACACAGGAATTATCTTTAGTTACGGCAAAGAAATTTAAATATATTATTTCAATACTTCGCCGGACGCAATGCACTCTGATGGTCTGATAACCGTGTCTGTATCAGTGTCTAAAGACGGACCTTGAAGTGTTTCGCTCTAAAAACCCATTCACCCCAATTTTTTTCTCTGCAAATCTACCAGCGTGTTCACATCATGAAAAATTCGCAGTCGCTTTACATTTTTTTAATAAATTGAAATAACTTAACTCTGCCTAATTAGATATCCAGGGAGAAAAGCCATTCTTAAATCAATGTAAAATGCTAAATGTCAAATCATATTAAATATGTCGTGAATACTTTGGACATATTTTTGCAATTTTTGAAATAAGAAGATGGCATTTGAAATTGCGACGCTTCTATTCAGTCATCGAAGGAGAATTGTCAAAAAAGTATGGTTGTGAGTTATTGGTTGCAAGTAGAGGACCCAAAAGGTGTAGATGGCCGGAAATTTAGGAGAGCAGAGAAATGAGAGAGTTAAATTGCTGTATTTGAAATTAAAGAATATGAAGAGATAAGAAAGAATTATAATTTTGAGAAGCAATGTATAAAAAAACTAAAAGCACAAAGAGTTATTTCAGTGTCATACCTTGTATGCAATTATCATAAAAGATGAAAAGAAGAAAAAAATATATGAAAAAAATAATAATTTAGATAAATGTACGAATAATTAAAATATAGAATAATAACATCAGTAATTGTAATATTGTAATTGTAATAGTAATTGTCAACATTCAATACCAAAAAACGAGTAGTATTTTTAATTTTTCTCAGACATGTCAACGAAATTCATTGAAACAGCACTGAGCTCATTTCCGATGACAATTATCTATCTCGCTTTCTTATCCTTGTCTAAATGGTTTTAGCAATCTTGAGATGAAAAAAAAAAAAAAAAAGAAAAACAAAAAAACGGTTTCCATAAATTCAAAATGATAGGTTTTAGGAAAATCATTTATACTTCCAATCTGATCTTCCGCTGATATTAAGAGAAGATCTGTCAATCAACCATGTTTAAAGTCGCCACGTGATTGGTTGATATGGACTAGGTATATAAAATGGTTGCTGGAGGTCCGTGTCTGTTTACTCACATTGATCGCTTATTGACTTTTTCACGAAAAAAATTGCAATTAGAAATTTCGTTTATTTGTCGATTTGAATTCAATCTTGAGAAAGTGAGTGTATTGGATTGGATGTACATCCTGTTTATAGTATATTTTCTTCTGTTTGGTTTGAGATGCAATGGTTGGCTTGAGATCACGGTAGTTCTGCGCTCACGTAGAGATTCAAAAAATTCAAGACAAATACAAAGGTAGGTGAAAAAAAAAAAGTTTATTCGAAGTAAACACGGATTCTTCACATCTAAACCGTCCTTAAGTGAAATTCTAGAAATTTCCATTTGTTCTTGAAAGGATTTGAAAGTTGTAATTAGAATCGCTCGCTCTAGCAAGGTCACATTATCTAGAAATTGATTGGAAGTTTGGTTTAATTTAAATACCGGTTCACGTTATAAACAAAATAGGACTTTGAAACTCCGTTGATTTACCACTGGCTAAAATGATCGGGTGACTTCCGTTGTTTTTAAGGGACAGCGTAGAAATAACAACGAAAAGCGAACAATTAATCGACAATTTCACCTGCTCTTTTCCTTTCATTTTTTTTTCTCATTTTAGCTTAACGAGTAGTGGCATGCCGTCACAATTAATAAAAAAATAATTATTTTCGGTATTACGGTTAGAAATTTGATAAAATTTACCCTAAACTACTATCGATGGCTCTTTTTTCGCTATCATCAATTAATTTAAATTCAAAGACAGTTCGCCGTGATTCTTTCCTCAAATGACACCCCATTGACATGTTGTTCGATGACAACATAAATTTTAGCATAATTTTGTCGTTCTTAACCAGCCTGATAGTTCGCATCAATTATCGTTTGTGGTATGCGGAATCCCCTTGAATCATTTTTGAGGATTTTACACCCATTTTTTTTGAAGTATTATGTATTTTAAAAAGCTCATCTCCGTCTTTATGACAACCGCAAGTAAATGAGGAAATCTACTGAAGAATGATTGAAAGCTCTAGAATGCAACAGTTTTATCCCGTATTTCAGGTGAATTCGGTAGAAAATCCTATTCTCCATCATAATTATACAGCACTCAAAAAATTACTGCATGTAGTGCGAAATTATATCGTCAAGAGAGCAAGGCTGGCCAAGCAATTAAGACACTGCCAGCTGTCATCGCTTTGGTCCTCTCTCAGTCTGGGACTATATGTTATTTGATCTTGTATGGTAGTTCTCTTCATTGCTCCGAGGATTTTCTCCAGGTTCGCTGGTTTTCCTCCCTCAGTCAAATAACTAGCAATAAGGAGTGTTGTGTGTTAAAATATTCAATGTAGAGGTGTTGAATGTGAGCGCGTCTGATACTTAATTGTAGCCTAGTTGGCTACGGAAGAGTGTCCGATGTAAACTGCATGCATTTATTTTACGAAAAATTAACATTCTGCAAAAAGCATGTGCCCTTCTCTTTCCGATCGTAATAGAACTTAAGAAAATTAATCACGATTTTAGTTCGATATAATGAAGTCTCTCTGCGCTATGAAATAAACCGGAAGGTTTTAAATTAATAATAAGTAATAAATAATAATAATTTACCTATAATAATCTATAATAAATCCTGTATTTTTGTAAAGGGTAGGACTCAACTTATAACTTCGCGAAATTCTTTCCTTTTTATGCATTCTATTAGTTTTAAGTAGGTGCGTTTTTAAAGCAGACTTCTGTCTTCATGGAAACCACAACTAAAACAAGACAATTGACTTGCAATAAAGAGATAAAAACGTTTGGTTGTTTAACAAAAACGTGGCAATTGTCACGACTTGGTTTTCAGATAGAAAGGGCGTCATGATTACATACTTCACGTTTGAGATCCTTGAAAGTCAATTTGCAATTGCATGCATATTTAATGTTAATTTTAAACGTTTTGTTTCGAAACATAACATTTGTTTACATGGGGCCATCGATTTATCATTTTGAAAGCGTGAGGGTAATGCCTTAATTTAAGGCAAACAAAATTCCACCTTAAAAAAAGGTTATCGGAGAGACAAAATGGACAAAAATGATTGAAAGGCAAAGAAAATAAATTGAAGCTACAATCTTTGACAAAATCCTTGGACCATTCCAGCGAATTTTAAGCAACACCCGCAGACAATTTCATCCCACTGACCCCCTAAATGCAATGTTGTTATTGATCATGTTACCATAGTACACAAGCATCCAAAACAAGACCCARCATTGATGAAAGGGGGCTAAGGGRGRAAACTGTGAWAAAATAAAGGAGAAAAATGTTAGGCTGGAGACAAATAATTCTACGGTCCAAGGTATTTTGGCAACAATTGTAGAATCCCATATCACATAATAAACTCGCGTGCTGATTGGTCCGAGATGACGAAAATGTGACGTASAYAGTGAARGATTCAGCGCGGAATCCAACGCTTTCAAAGCTGAATTCAATGAAAAATCAGGGATCCCGCTTGATTGAGTTTTGATTTTGTCGCATTTTCTTTTCATTTTTTTGACAATTAACAATTTAAAATTAACAATAGAAGCTCTTTTCATAGAGAATCGAAAAATGATATGCAGGCTTTGTTACAATATCGCTTCGCTTCGCGACTCTTGCGATATCGTTTTTCTCGTGAAATTGAGGAATTCCCTAGTCATCCAATGAATTTTCCTATAAAGTCTATTACCGAATTTCAAACCGTGGGAGACTGGGCAAAATCCTCTAATTGGATAATCACGACATAAAACTTACAAAGAAAGAAAGCCCTTGTTGAGAAAGGCACAATTCCAAAATTTGGTGTAAATCAGTTTAATACTGAACGAGTTACAGCCTTTCAAATATTTTAAAATTTTCAAAGAAATGAATGGGATCTAGTGAATGGCTGTAACTCGTTTTCTATTTAACTGTTTGACACCAGATTTTGGAATTTTTCATTTCTCAACAAGGGCTTTCTTTCTATATAAGTCTTGTCTTATGATTATTCAATTAGAGGAATTTTGCCCAGTCCCTCACGGTTTGAAATCCGGCAATGTATTCAGCTTCGCATTACCCACAATGCCGTTCGGTTATGACTTCTCAATGAACTATTTGATTTACTACTTATATCAGAGATCTTTGTCTCCAATACACACATCTTACACACACCGTTGGCTCTTCCAATATTAGATCTTGCGATATTGAATTTTTCTATTTACTTTTTGAGTATTACTTTGAAAGAGGTGTTTTATCAGGTAAAAGCCGCGAGCGATTGAATACATCGGCAATACTGACTTTTTTATTAAATGAGACCATGTCTGGCCTTGGCAGACGGAAATGCGTTCAGTTAGCCATAGTAAAAGGACAATAGCAAAGGAAATGCGAGGAAGATAGTAATGACAGTTAAGTAATGCTTTCTTTAATCTGATATACGATAATTGTTTGCAATATGTAGAGTAATGAGATAAGGTTTGGAAAAATGTTTTTGTTTTTTTTCTTATATTCCTTCTTTTTTTAATTTCGCTGAACGCTCCTAGAGTGAATTCATTAAATATATAAACTTGACTTTTTAAGTGTGCGATAGAGTACACTCATTAAATCCGTGAAACAAAATTTGACTATTAAGTGTGATAGTCAAATAGACACAAAAGA